TTACACAAAAATGCTCTGAGGACAGAACAAAAAGTGATTGGTTCAGAGAGATAACCAATCAGATTGCAGAGGAGGTGGGTCCAAGCAACTAGATTATTATTTAATTCATTTTCTTTGGCTTACAGTAAGTTACTAAGTATTGGAGCCACATTGCCCTAACCCTATTCTTCGCATTGGATGTGTGTATTTTAGTGCGATTTTAGTGAACACAAGGTTTTCCAGGAATACATCAGTCTCATTGTAGCAGGACTGACTGCATAGTAGTTTTTACATATTTGTACATTTTTGTCATTTGTAATTCTGTGTTATGTCTGCATTTATGTCTGTGTGTCCCTGTTATTTATGTAGATTGCTACTGCAGCACAAAATTTTCCCCTTGTGGATAAATAAAGTTAATCTGACGCTGAATCTGATTGAAGATCAAACCCTAACCATAACAAAACTCAATGGGAAATTCCCATTTGCCTTTTGAAGCTATCGCGACCGAGCATGCCTCTCACTCGGTAACGTACTTTTCAATTTGCCAGCCTCTACTCTTCCAGCGTAAGAGCGAATCAAAAATGACCTTGCTAGTACGTGAAGCACAAAGGTAAGAGAGAGACTCACAGCAGCCAGTCCACAGCAATGAGCAGCGACACGTCATGCACGGGCAGCCCCACGGAGGTCAGGACCATTAGCGTAGTGACAGCACCAGCGGAAGGGATTCCCGCCGCTCCGATGCTGGCGACCGTCGCCGTTATACTGCAGATAATGCAAGCAACACAGGAAGCGCTGTAACTACCAGCTTTCAAGGATCTATCAAACAGCTCTGTGGTTGACTTCAATAAATGCCTGTGGAAGGTCAGTAACAGGAACCAACAGCCAGGAATAACCTCATGGTGGGTTTATAGGGACACCTGTTCCATCTATTAATGATACATTTCAGCCCGGTCGTCATACCTGATGGTGACGATCCTCCCCACATCCAGCTCATAGTCGTGCAGCTGAGCCACAAATATGGCGGCCACGGCCTCGTAGAGCGCGGTGCCGTCCATGTTGATGGTGGCGCCCACTGGCAGCATGAAGCGAGTGACCCTCCTGTCGATCCTGTTGTGCTCTTCTGCACAGCGGAAGGTGATTGGCAATGTGGCTGAGCTAGCCGTTAAATTGCAAACAAGCAGGACATCAAAACTGTGCTTTTAGCTTTTTTTAAGAACGTTTCTTAATGCTAACTTCTTTATGCTAACTTCTTAATGCTAACTTCTTAATGCTAACTCAAAAAAAAGGGGTTGCTTTCATATATCCTTCCATCTTTGAACCACTTATTTAAGGTTTCTTTTATTATTTTCATAATCCTAAGGTTGGTAAAACTAAATATTTTATGCATTGCTCACCTGCTACACAAATACCTTTCATGAATTCTCTGGGAATTAATTGAGCACTTTTCCAGACAATTTAATCATACTATATACACAGTGCATTGTACCTGGAGGAGAGCACAAAGGCAGTCGTCAAGGCCTCAGCCAAGCCCCAGATGAATCTGAAGGGGTTTTTTCTTACGATAACCACATACAGAAATGGGAGGGAAATTAAGGAATGGATCGAGAGTCTGGAGATAAGGGGAAAAAACACATCATATGAGTTAGAGCCAGTCTCTCCGAAGTTAAAAGGTCACTATTACTATTCTTTGAACTTCCTCCTTCTCCTTCAAGGGCTAAACATAATTTTACTGCTTATAAATTAAAAAAAAATCAATTCCCTGATCACTTTATGACTCAAAATTGTAATGATGGGCCGAAACGATGCATCTGAACCATTTGCTGTGTTTTCTGGGACCCACTAGATGGTGCTCTTTGCTCAAAAAAGGGCTCCAGATGCCCCAGAGTAAACCAAGGGCACCATCTAGTGCAGGGGTCACCAACATGGTGCCCGCGGGCACCAGGATGCCCCCAAGGACCACATGAGCGGCCCGCGGACCTGTTCTAAAAATAGCGCGACTCACCAGTGAGCAGCGTCTAAAATTAAATTTTATCCTGTTGCAGATGTGATTAAAGAAGAATAGCATTTATATAGATTTGAAAATGACAATATCTAAAACAAAAATTTAAACATGTTTATTATACATGAAGTTTAGATGGATGGATGAAGCTTAGGAGGGTGTTTCAAACTGGCAGCCCTTCATATGGCTCAGTACCCGTGACGTAGCTCTCAGTTTCAAAAAGGTTGGTGACCCCTGATCTAGTGGGTTCAGAAAATGGTTTATGAAAAAACGCTGCAATATTGATAACCAAGTACCTAAATAATGGGCATGGAATTAAACCTGGAGCAGGACCTAGAAAAACTGGTGTTTACTATATACCATGATTCCCAGCGCTAACTCTACCAGCTCTGAATGCATTGGTGCACAGCTGTGACTTCTGGCTAATGAGTCTCTCTGGAGTTTATACGCATCAAATGCTGGTAGAGCTGGGTCTAGACTTTGAGCAGTGTAAAGGCCAGCAGGGGGCGCCATAGAGTCCTACAACACAAAGCTGTGGCAGCCGCTCACCCACACAGCACGGTCACCATGAAAAGCCCCAGCTTCCGGAAAATGCCCCAATCCTCCACCTCCAGCACTTTGGCTGCTATAAGAAACAGGATCCCGACAGGCATGTACCTGCGAACGAAACGTAAAAACAGAGCGGAGGCAGGGGAACCCTTCACTCACGTATACGCTACTGTGCATAATCTTAGGCCATCAAAAAAAATATGTTTAAATGATCATCATATTGACATAAAACTATGATATCATATCTGTCAAAGTCTGTCAGCTTAGCTATTTCAAAACCTCTCCTCAAGTCACTCCGGTATTTGCAGCGACCGTCCAAGACACCCATGGATTTCTTGATTCGACCACCAGTGCACTTCGTATGGCTCATCAGTACTTCATTGATGTGTTTAAACTAATTTATGTAATTAATTGAGCTGGTAGCAAAATTTAACAAATACGTGGGAAGGCTGAGGTCCCCCTGAGGAGAGGTTTGGTTACTCAATCGATGTTTATCTACTGTAGATATTCAACAAGATATCAGAAAATGAAGAAAAGAAGAAATTCTTGTTAGTTTTTATTGTCTTCATTTTCATATGTCCTAAAGTTAAAATTAGCTGTTTTTTTTTTTGCAAAGACACACTTACTACCCCGATACATAGTGTTAAACATTTTGCTTGACTGCCTAAGACTTTGCCATAGTACTCAGATAAGGCATCTTAAGTGATGCAAGAATCCTTCTGGGATGAGTTCTACCATGACTACTGAAAACCTCATAACAAATGTGTTCCGACAGGCCTGTACCTGTGAATTACAAAAAAGTACAGAACAATTATCGACCACAGTCACTGGATACTGAAAGGAATCCCATCTAAGAAGAAACTTCAGAAGTATTTGGGACTCCAAAAACTGCTACAACTCTTCCCACGGTAGGGTGCTGGAGAAAGATGGTCCTCACCACATGATGATCTGGACCAACTTCATGGTGGCTTCATTCATGGCATCAAAGAACTCCACTAGAATACGGCCTTTGTCTCCCATCTGCCGGATGACCAGCCCAAACACCACGCAGAAGACGATGAGGCCCAGAACATTGATCCCATCGGTGTAGACTCCAACTATGGTGTACTCCTTAGTCAGGTTCTGATAAGGCAAAGCCAAAAGGTCATGTACATTTATATTTTGGTGATACCCATCCATCCATCTTCCAGCTGCTTATCCTGGGCCTACCCTGAGGCAGCGTAAGGCACAAGGCTGGGGAACACCCTGTCAGAAAAACGTACTGTAATACATTTATTTTCTGTTATCTTGCATTGAGGCCAGCTGGTTTCTTATGTCCCCAGCTGCAATGTCAAAGGCAGGTTTTACCTGTGGGGACAGCATTGTCATGGTGACAGGCCCAGGCGTGTGTTCACGGTTCCCATAGAGCATGCTCTGATGTTTAGCTTCTTTCCGTTGCGTCTTATACTACAGTTGAAGCAAAAATAGACAGCGGAATACCCTCAGGGTAATGAAATTCAAAAGTGAAAGATTTATTAAATACAGCATTGTAATGTTTAGCAAATTAATTTATGAATAAAGTTTACACTTAACACATAATCCATCTGTACAGTATATTGACTCAAGCTGCAGTCAATTCCTGCCATCACTACACTGCCGCATGATCGTACTGTACCTGCTCAAAGCAAGCTTGGACGAGATTCTCAGGAAACATATTCCTGCGGGCAAAATAAAACAGGGGATTGAGGTCCCATTTTCGGCGGTCGGTCAGCACACGTCAAAGCCTTCTTGTCAAAGTCAACGCAGATTTAATGCACGTATATAAGAATTCCGTGCTCCGGAATAGTGGTTGATTCCAAGAGAGGATTTGTCAGTGATCCTTCACCTGATAAGGTCCAACATGGCATCCAGAGTGGAGACATGTTCTGCAGATCCATTCCAGACCACACTGTGGGGTCCGTGTGAAAGTCCAGGATTGATTGTTGCAACTAACACCATCCCTGGAAAACAATAATAGATTAACTAAATTAGCCTTGATTGTGTTTTGTGGGGCGGGGAGGGGTCGACTTACCCAGGCAAACAGCCAAAGCAGTGGTTGATAGATAGTAAGTTATCACACAGAACCCGATGCGGAATGACACTTCTGAATTCAGAGCAGCCACGCCTGCGGAAAGACCCAGAAAAATGAATACTTAATGGTTAGAAAGATCGTAAAAGAAACATGTGATTCTCAGCCAAATGAAACAAATTAGCAAATTACTTTTCAAATGTGAAATATAAGTCTGTGGTTCCTCAGGTCATAGTCATGGCCGGTGCTTTAGTTTTCAGCCGCCTGGTGCTTTATTTACCACTCGAGAGACCCAGGAAGGGCCTGCGTTTCTAATACACTTTTCAGACTACAGATAGGGCTCTACACGCTCCCAGGCGGAAACCTCCACCTTACTCCCTGACCTGTTATGATGCTGGAGACGATGAGCGGCAGGATGACCAGCTTCAGCATCCTCATCAGGACCTCTCCTGGGAAGCCCAGATACTGCTTCTGGAGTCGGGACAGGGAGCCAAACTCCCGAACCAGAACTCCCAGTCCGGCCCCTGGGTAAGACAAATGGGCAAGGACAGGAACTGGACAGCGTCATAGAAAGTTTTTGGGATCAGCTCGTGGTCTGCCTTCATTATGTCATCCACAGTATAGCGTTACGTTTAAATGCTTGCCATTTTACCCAGAATGTCACCACACACTCAAAAGACAAGTTTGAATCCCCTCAAAATGTTTTTGTTACTAATCAACCAGGAAGCCAGGTAGAAAAATTTACAGAGAGAAGCTATCGATACATTAGCACTGGAAGAAGGGGTGTTTCGGCAATGAAAAACACTGGAAGAAGGGGTGTTTCGGCAATGAAAAACACTGGAAGAAGGGGTGTTTCGGCAATGAAAAACGTATGTTGGCTTAGAGGCAACTTCATGATTAGCTCTCCAAAAATACTACCCTTGTTAGGTGTTGATAGCTACTGATCATACAAAAGAACTTCAACAAGGTCTATTGACCGTCTTCCCAGGTCTAAGTGTCGGCAGGGTTGCTGTACCCCACGAAATTTATTACTGCTTTTTACCCAAATCAAATATTTGCTGATATGAAAACTCATATCGACCAATCATTTGAACAGCTTCAGAAACCTGTAAATTGTCCCTGTAACTTGTCCCCATTTTAATGCCACACAAGTCAAGTAAACCAGCAGTTAAGATGCAACATTAACAAGAAAGAATTGAACAATGCAACAATGACATTGTTTTAATGATACACATTGCTATGTAACTTTCAATTAACAATTGAAATATACATTGTCTACGTTTATAAAGGTTTTTACCACAGGTCATTCATGACTGACAAATGACACAGTTTTTCCAGTAACATAGCATCATGTTTAACCTTAAACCTAAAATCTGCTCACCTAAAATCACAGCTACGACTGTAGCAATAAGACATGGGCTCTTTCTGAGCATGCTTCTCCAGCATAAACGTCCCACGTCCTTCTTCTCCATCGCTCGATGTGACTTTACCTCCCAGGCAGCCCCTGTGCACCTGAGAGGGAGTCCCCCTTCAGCCTGGGGGGGGGGCACCATGTCCCCGGGGAGCCATCTTAACCAGCAGTTGGCATGGTGTCTGCGGCTCACAGTACTGTAGGTGTCTAAGCTGTGACCTCAGCAGTGAAAATGGGCGGATCGGACCTTCATGCACATGTTGTCTGACACAATAAGACCATTGTTAGAAACGGAGTTAAGGCTAGCTGATGGGATTCTGTGTAAGAGCTCACAAGGCATGTTGCAAAGGACTGGCTTTGGTGCCTCGGCCTTGGGCAGCCATTATATTGTAGCGTGGAGCATTGTGGGAGATGTTTGTTATATTGTAGCGTGCAGCATTCTGGGAGATGTTTGTAAATAGTCCCTTGTTTGTGTTTTGTTAATACTTGCTTTGTTCCCGATTGTCGTGCGTGTGCCCTTCCCTGTGTCTTGCGTAAACCCTGTCCGATCCTCACGTCTCTTTAGCCACTGAATAAATTACCCATCGCGCATGTGCTTTACTGCCGGGTATCTGACCTCTCTGTCTTGTTGGTGACCTTTGGTGGTTATTTACATGGTGTGATATAAATAATGAGTATTAATAGAATCTGAATCAGTATCTGTGATTGCAATAATGTAGAATAAGAGACTTATACGACATGTATAAGAATATTTGATTAAATATGAAGTGTGTGGGTCGTGCACTCCAGTTATGGCAGAACTGGGTGTGGATTAGTCACATTGTTAAGAGTTCAGCAGCCAGTCAGCTGTAAGGAAGAAGCTGTAGGTTTTAGATACAGACATTTGGCTTATATGATGGTGAGAGTTTCTCGTGCTTGTCTGGCTAACCTACTCAGAAGCACACAAATCAAGGTCAAAGAATACAAATGAAAGTCTTGTCAGTGAGGGAGTGCAAAATTACGGGGGAGGGTCACACAAGTGATTATTGCTGGAAGACGGAACCCTGAGAGGGAGGGACTGAAGGTCTGCCTGGGGGGACCCTCGGCTCAGTCTCAGAGCTTCTGTTTTGGGGGTCCTGAGGATTATTTACAGTACAACAACATCAATGACTGCTCACAGAGTCACAGAAATCCCTAATAAAGTAAATAAAAGGACAAAAAGGACAAAAGACATGAAAGACAATTATGCATAAATAATTAAATAAACAAATAAATATAGAAATAAGTAACTAAGTAACTAATAAAACAATAGGCACAACAACAAAAACAGAATTGAGGAAACGCTATCATGTGTTTCAGAAATTTGCGTGAGGAAACGCCAGAGGCAGGTTAAAATATAGCGAGCGAAAATACATACTCTGCTCACTTCATTCTGACCCTTGTTCATAGTAATTTGTTTGTTATTTCATCAAGTTGGACCGGACCTCTGGTGTTATCCTGATCCTACGGTACTTTGCGAGGAATGTCACGCAGAAATGGATTCCCCTGCCTCTCCTCGCTGTTGGTCGCAGCGGGCTGACATTCTCCAGACATTCTTCTTCCCACTAGATGGCGCCCGCGGATGGCTGTACAACTGACAACATTAATAGTTCTGCTACTGAAATACACAAATATTACATATTCATAAGGCTTATTATACATTATTTGAACTTATTGTCTTCGCTAGTTATTAGATTTATAGATTTTTAATTTTTTTTGGGGGGGGAGGGCATTTAATGGTGCCAGTTCACAAATGGTGTGTTGGACGTGGGGAAGGGGTCCGCCAGGCACGATCGCAGGTACTCCGTAGGAGAATGACACCAAATAACGCGATATGAATAATGTAAATGAAACTGAATAACAAGCGCAGTTATCAATCAGATCATCCATGTGACGGGAGTCTCAGTGAATATTACACACCGTTATCTCTGTGGGGGCATCGCCGCGTTAGTGCCGTCGCTCACCCCAGACTGCAAATGTTAGATGTGCCGCCCGCAAGGGACTAAGTGCTGGTCTTGTGTGGTTCTGAAAAAGGCGGATCTTGCCTGTGTTTTAACTAGATCCCGACGTTCCGGTGCCGCACTGCTGAACCTGAGCCCGACCCGGACTAACGAGCGCTTAATTAGAGAACCTAATGGGTAAGTAGGGATGTTTGATTCAAACAACATTCGTCACTAGTTTTTTTTCTATATTTAATAAATGGGTATCAAGGAGACGGTAATGGTGTGGTTAGCCTATCGAGCCAGTATAATGAATAGGAGGACCGGACGCTGACTGGATAATAGCACCTCATTCATTTGATCTCTCTCTGTTTTCTTTGTCATGCTATCAAATAGGCTGCAGTCTAATGCAAATTTTGCATGTATTTTACAGCCTTATATTATTAATGAAGGATATTTGTTGACGGCTGTGCACATACTTTTTAAAGTTGACTGTCGTTTCAGGATAAAAGATACAGATTTCTCTGTTACGCAAACCACATGTTGCTTAGTTATTCCGTCTTAATTTCCTTAGTGTTGGCAACTTAAGTTACTCGCTAGAAGGCAGAAGTTACCGTTTTGTTGAACTGCATGGAACCCTGCAGTTGTATGCCATGGAAGTGACGGAATCGATACTATAGCAAGAATTTTGTCAGCCGAAATTTTGTCAACCAACACTAATGACCTTAGATACTGGAATATAGACATATTTATCGTTATTTTGAACTGTCGCATCGATTCATTAATTATATTTTGCGAACTTTTTTTTTCTCATTTGCTGATTAAAAATATGCTGCTTATGTAGCCTATGCTAAATGCACTGCAATGTAAAAATGCAGAGAAGTGGCTACCTCTGAGATATTTAAGTACAAGTCAGAGGTTTTGCTGTGCGTGTTTTTTCCACATTTTCCGTTTTAAAAACAGCAATGTGTGCATATTATATGCGACCGTGATTTGATGTGTGCCACAACTTTATTGAAGATACTGACTGGTCCTTAGTAGTTAGCTGTTAATGTCTGTTATTTAAATTTGGCCTGTTTTTGAAATTTATCGGTTGCATTATTTCAATATTGGAGTGTTAACCATCAGGATACAATGGTGATGCATAGTAGTTGGCATTACCCAGATCTACACTGTCAGAATAAAGGGCACAGCCCTGGTACAGTTCTGTTCCCCATGGTACAAACAACATTAATGTACCCCCAACGGTCCTTTTCTGTACCTTAAAACAGCAATTCTCCACCCGTGGGTCGCGGCCCAAATTTGGGTCATAGCACATTCTGAAAGGGTTGTGAGGCAGAGTTCGAAATGCAACCATTTCAAAACCAGCAAGCTCCTATGCTGATCCACAATCAGATTTCCCCAATCCTCGAATTAACCTATATAAAAGTGTTTTGGGTCTGCAAATGCTTAGCGTAAAACTAGTGAACACTCAATCAATCCAAGAATTCAAAGCACAGATGCTTAATTTAAAATTCACTGGCACATCCAATCAGATTTGTGCACTGCATGGTTGATCGTAGCGTTAATTTAACCACTATACTTGATATAGGGTCACGACTGAGCTGGTATGGTAAAAAATTGGGTCGCTGTGTAAAAAAAGGTTGAGAACCACTGCCTTAAAAGGTACATTTACAGCTATGGTACAATTGGCAGACCCTTGAGAGTATATCTCCAGGGACAAGTGATTGTACCATCGAAGGAACAAATTGGTCCTTTTGTTTCTGACAGTGTACCCTCATGTTTGCTCCATCCAAAAACAGGCTTGGTGCAGAAGCCAGCCAGCTGATAGCACACCTCCCACTCAGGGCCTGACCTGTGCGCTCACACGAATCCCCAATAGCCCCCGTTAGCAGCAGGGCTGCTCGGCTCCTCTCGCCAGCATTCACAGACCAGCTGCCGTCCTGCATCCCCGCTTGTGCATGTGACCGAAGTCCAGAGTCGGGTATTTCAGGTCCAGAGAGTAAAAGTCCAGACCAGGATTTTGATTCAACCAACCAGTTGAGTACTCTGTGACTGTGACTCTTTATGCTCAACTGGTCGGTTGAAACGAAATCTTGGTCTGGATTTTTAGTCTATGGACCTGAATTACCCAGCTCTGCCTAAGTCAGCCAGGTGTTCCACCAGAATCATCCAGTCCTGGTGTCCCCACACTCCTGCAGGGGACAGCCTGTGCGAGGCCTTGGCCACACTGCAGCTGGCTTTGTCTGACAGCACAGCAGACAGCATAGAGGCCTGCCTGGACTGTCTGCTGAAGGCCCTGCTCCTCAACAGTAAGTGCACCGTCTTTCTGTGATACATCACGCCCATGTTACCTTCCTATCTGCAATCCATCCAGCAATCCATGTCATTTAGCTGGGGGCGTAATGATACGGTATTCTCACGATTTGGTTTGATGGACGATTCAAGGCTCACGGTTCGATACACTCACAGTATATTCAACAAAATAAGACCGAAAACAAGAAATTCACAATTCGTATGTATTTGTTTTTAGGCATGTACATTTATTTACAAAACACTTTTTTTCAAACTATTCATTCGTATCTTACAGTTTCAGTTTTTTTCCTTATTCTGCAAACTCCAGTGCAAAATCCAAAAATAAAATCTCAAAGAAAAACTGAGATTATCGTGCCCTCTGGTGTTAATATTAATAAATGATTTCACGCCACGGTGCATTGTTACACCCATGCATTTTACACCTCCAAAGACACTTCCCTCATGCATGCCGTCGTTTATCAAAGACATGCATAACATGGGACGTCCCCTTGGTACTCGGTCTCTAATGTCATGACTTCTACTACCCAACAGTTTCCACGTGTCACTTCCTGTCTGAGACAGTCAGCTGAGTCTCACGGTGTCTGGGTGTGCCTGGGAGACGTGAGCACATGTAGACCTCAGGAATATCGGTGTAATCACCTCATTACTGCAGAAACAGCATGACGTTCCTCAGTGGTTCCTCACAGAAATTACTCCACTGCCTTTGGCACCTTTTGTTTGCAATAAAACGTCAGATAGCAGTTTTGTTCTTACCGTGCGTGGAACACTGTGGCTTCGAGGTCGCCTCCCTTTTTTTTGGGGGGGGGGGGGGTGGGGGGGGGGGGGGTGAGTGCTCCTACTGCACAGACATCCAAAGGTTTTAACTGCATCCATATCTGTACCTGCCTGGGATATTGTTACA